AAAAAATTTTGAAGTTACTTGTTGATATCTTGTCACTTAAATAATTAATCCTAAATTTGACCATTGCCAAAAAAGAAAAAATAAAGTAAGAACGTCAATGTTCTCATTCTCTCTCTGCACATGAAGTCTAGTACAGCCAAAATATTCACCACATACTCAGGGAGTCTTCTCCCAAAAATCTGTTGTTTCCTACAGGTAGAGCTATACGAAAGGTATCTTCATTCTTTTGGCTAGGAAATGAGGCAGAAATATCTCAGCAGAGAAGGTCTGAAGTTAGTTCTCTTTGTACTTAAACACCTGCTTAGTTTTCTTGTTTCCCTTTGTAGACTCAAATATTTTTCAGCCTCCAAAATCCAGCAACCCCTGGCTTGCCTCTTTGACCTCTCGCTGCCCTTAGACAAGCCATTCTGTCCAACAGCAACCCAGAACAGTTGATCTGAAAGGCAGATACTTCCATGGTGTGCGTCAGAAATTTTCTCTTTGCCTTTTTATAATAAAGAGCCTGAGAAACATAGTACCTTGAACTCTACTTCATTCACAAATCATTTAGTAATTTAAGTTGGAAGGATCCTCTGGGAGGTGTCTTGTCCAAGCTCTTGCTCAGAGCAGAGCCGATACGGATTTGCTCAGTTGAGTTTTGAGTATTTGCCAGGACAGAGATTTCACAGCCAACCTAAGCAACCTCTTCTGGTCCTTGACCTCCCTCCCAGTGGAAAAGAATTTCCTCGGCTCTAATCACCACTTCCCGTGCTGCAACCTGTATCTCTTGCCTTGCATCTCACTCCTGTGCGCCTCTGAGAAGAGTCCAGTTCTGACTCCTTACCCGGTGAGGTCAGTCTTCTCTTCTTAAGGCTGAACCAAGCAATTCCCAGCGTTACCTTGTAGAACACATTCTGCTCCAGCCCCGTATCGTCTGGGTAGCCTCCCACTGCACTTGCTGCAGTGTGGCAATATCTTTTACTCGGTGGGAAGCCCAAAATTGGGCACAGCACTCTAGACACAGTCCCACAAGCTTTAAAAAGGAGGCAGTAACTACTGGCTGAATACACTTGTTAACATAGCCCAATACAGGTTGATGGTCTTTGCTGCAAAAACAAACTGCTTCAGGAAAAAATGAGTGTGTATGTAACTAATTATGAAGAAAAAGGAGTATAATTAAAACTTCACAAAAGCAGGATGTGGATCTCTTGGCCTGTTGGTCATTGATTTGAATCTAGTTGAATGTTGTCAGATCTGGTTACAGTCAACTTCGGTTGGATGACCGTTTAGAACTATATGTGAAACCAGCAGTTGGTTTTGAGATTCACCATCACCATTGCATTACTCTTTGTATGTTTGTAACAAATCAGTAGAATCTAAAAGCTGCGTAAACCCTATCAAGGTTGCTAATCCCAATGTGGAATATCCCTTATGAATGTGCTTAAATACTTGATAAAAGAACCCCAAATGTTAATGCTACAAAGCAGGAGCAGGAGTGTGAATTCACTGCAATTTGATATGTAGTGTGACCTAGACAACACAGATTTTCTTTTTATTATTCACCTATGATCCAATGCGAAAGTAATTTCTTTTTACTAGCTCATAAGCAGAGAGATAGGACACACAAGCACACTTTTCTGGTTTTATGGTGGGCTTAGGGCAAATCAGTGAACAGAAAGAATTAAGGTTCTCATCTGTAAGCATCCCTCTGTTCCCACATGTAGGGGCAGAACTGTGAATGGACTGTATACGGTTATATGGCTACTGCTCTAAAAAGACCTCTGTTTTGTCCAGTAGCTTTTAACATGAGAGGTGAAAGCAGTCCTGAGACCAAAGTCATGAACTCGGATCCCCCTTTTCATAGAAAGTGGCTGCTGTTCTGGGTTTTGGTTCTGTTCGTGGCCCAGCAAACCTCAGAGGGTTGAGTGGAAAATGCCCCAACTGCAGTGGATTTGGTGCTTATGGTTGTCTCCTGAAGGACAGGAAATGGAAGCTGGAAGCCAAGGTACTGTAATAAAACTCTCCTTTCCAGAGGGCAATCCCTTTTCCAAGGGGCAGTCTTCAAGGAAGAATCAATGGCTTGTTACCATTTATTTGCAGGACATGCCTAGAGTCTGTGGATACAAAGGAGGGAGATAGAGGAAAGCAGCCTTAAACCTGGAGAGGCTCAGAATGTGTCCCTTTCTCCTCCTCTTCATTTGCTGGTACAACTGAAAAGAAGGAAATGTTGAAACAATCTATATTTTGACTTGTATTCAGTTTTAATTATTGAATGCCACTCTAAAGAAAGTTGTGTTTCGATGATGGATGAAATTGTTCCTACAAGTAGAAATACGTTTGATACACAAAATGATGCCATATAAGTAGAGACTAAAGGAGCAGATGTCATTATTTAGAAGCAATTAATGAGGAAGCTTAATTGAAGTTTATAAAGTAACAAATAAAAGCAGTTCATTTTGCTTTTTTGTTTACTTGCCTCAAAAATTAGTTGCTCCTATATAAATGAAATCAAATAATACATCTAAGCTGGATACATTGATTTTTTTTTTTCTATGTACTTAGTTTGTGAAGTTCATTACATAAAGTCATTGAAGCTCAAAAATTGAGAGTGTGAAAGTGTAACTAATACAACGAACAGTACAGTTAAAGTCTTAAATCTGGGGGTTTTTTTATACAACAGGGCTACTGAAGCCTGATGGTTTCCTATGGAGCTTTATCTTGTATTTCTTTAATAACTATCCTACTTACAAGAAGTCTAATTTGTACTTGGTTTGGAGGGATTGTTGGTTTTGTTTATTTGTTTACAACCTCAGGTGAGATAGAGGTAGCATGCAGTCTGGTTAATCCGGACTGGTTTGGCTCTGCGTATGCTTATTTGAGTTGACCAATTCTGCAAATAAACCAGGTAAATTTTTAAGTACTATAAATTGTTCATCACACAGGATGATCTCTAACTGAAAAACTGAGGGAGGAGCTTGCCATATCAGCAGGTATTTTTTATTTTAAAGTCCCTTGAACGTTCCTTGGAAACATTCAACATCAGATTAGTCTAATTTTTGTATAGTGATTCCTCTGCCTATAGCTTGACGCAGGCTTTGCAATTGTTCTGGCTTCAAGGCACTACATGTGTCTCAGCGCTTACACAAGACAAGCGTGTTAATGGATTGTGTTCCTGCGTTAGAATTCTCCCCTTTCCAGATTTTGGTGTTACAAGTAAGTCATAGCACATATATGCAATCATATATGTGTAAGCTAAGCTTTTCTGATCTTTGACCAGTTTGAAGACTTTTTAGGAGCCTTTTTTTCCCCTGTTTCTATCTCAGTATATGCTTATGTATTACAAGGCATGCTAAGCCTTTTTAAATTTAGGCTTTAGCATATCAGCGGGGTGTGCATTCTACCATCTCTCAGCATTGTGCATCGACAAGGGGAAGAAACACTTTCTCACGCTGCTGGTGTGCCCCAGCTCACCTGTCCCCACCTTTGCTGTAGAGCTGTGGTTGTGTGGCTGATTCCCATTTGTTAGAAGACATGTTGATTTAGCTGTGCAATGCTTTGCGCCTCAGGGCAAGTTCCTTTCCAGCGCACAGTGCGGGAAGATTCTAACTGAAGTGGAGAATAAGAATTTTATGAACAGGGACTTGAACACTCAAGTGCTGTAATGTGCTCTCAGCTAATTTAATCTTTAAATACAGATAATGAATCTACTTCAGTTTGTATTCTGGTAAGAAATGTCATTCATTCTGTATGAATGCAAGTATCTGTATAAAATGGGTGACCTGTACAAATTTTTTTACATGATTTAAGCTAGATAGGTATGGTTATACTGATGTATTTGTAAATTAAATGAGGCATTGGGCTGTGTATTAGAGGAAAATGTAATTTATAAAACCCAGTATAATTAGTTACTGTAGATATCTGTGTTCAAGAAGAGCCCTTTTTTAAAAGCTGATCCAGTGATGTAAACCAGCTATGAAAGCCAGGTGGGGCACATTAACAAAGATCATGAAATGCTTTAATGCTTTTGGGATAATCAAATCCCAAAGATCCACCCGGCCTTGGTTCCTAGGCTCTGGCATGAGGCATCAGGCTGGAGTTGATCTGGGCACACCGGTATTTTAGGGTGGAAAAAGTAAGAGTGTTCGATGACAGTCTCATAATCCCATTCAGAAGAAAAGTAAAAATAATAAAGCCCTTAATAAGTGTGATTACCATTCAGAGATTCAGCTAAGTTGAGGTGCTGAGAAAAAACAACTTTTGTGTTTGTCATTTTTTGTTTGTATTATTTTAACCTGTTGTTTACCCACATTTTTTAGGTGCCAAATCTTCCCTTGAGCTTGCCATGAAATGTCTGTTATTCCATTAAATTTTTATCTTTCTCTTACGATGTATCACCAAGCCATTGTCAAATTCCCTAGCCTTTCTAAGAAGATGGAGTTTGCATGGATATAGCTCAGTACAAGAAAGTTGGACACATCTCGTTTTAATGACAAAATTTGCTTTTGTCCCCTGTAACAAATGTAAACATACGGTATATAAATAGAAACCTTTCTTACAAAGGACAAGAGTTCAACATGTGTCACCCTGTGCCTGTTTTCAAAAGCAGGCGATGGAGTGGGTGTTCATAAAATCCAGTTTTTGACTGCTGAAAATAAGGGTGTTAGCGAGCGGCTGCTCTGCCAGTTCTGCACAAAAGCTCTTGGGCAGCGGCTTGGGTATGAAATGCCTAGTTATTTAAAAATGTGGTTTTGTTGGGGTTTTTTATTTAATTAAGTGTGTCCTTTGAAGAGCCAGCATCTTTCAGGTGATGAAGTAATCGGCAATGTTGTTTAAACTACCCACAGTTTTGTTGTAGCAAGGAGCCAAAACAGAGCAGCTGAGAGTATTTAAGAGCTTTGTCTGCTGGCTTCAGCTCTTGCCTTGCCCTTGGGAAGGTGCAGCCGTGGCTCTGTGCTCTCGGAGAGAACCATGTACGTTGGTGCTGCCGAAACCCACCCCCTTGTGCCTCTGTTTTCCCACAG